TTTGCATGGCTGTGTATTTCTGAAGGGTTTCTCAGGCTGGAGCCCCCTGGATGATTGACGGCGTCTTTGGGTCCCCTGAAGCTACAGCTACTGTGGTCCTAGGCTCCTTCTCTTTCATGCACTAAAGGTCTGAGCCCCGGGTTATTCTGCATTCTGCAAGAATATGGCTGGGGAGGTGTAGGGAATAAAATTTTAAACAGCAAACAAATACACAAATTCTTCCCCTCAGATTTTGGAAAATAGCAAGCAACAGATAAAACAGGCTTAGGGACTGTGTCTAAACATACCATCTGAACATTCCCCCAACTTCTAAACTTGGTATACATAATCAAAGCAATGTGAAATATTTCATAGGCATCTAAACTCCCCAAATGCAGTAAAATGTGAATCACTGGATTTTTCTCCCAGCAAAAAATGTCTATTGACTAACGTTTGGACGTAATAATAAACATTATTTGAATGATGGGCAGATAAAGCCGATCATAAGCTTCATATAAACATCAGTCAACAAATAGCCTAGTTACTGGAAGATATAAATAGTAGTACAATCTAGTTGCTACCTAACCCCAAGGAAATTATAAATTAGTGAGAAAACCAAGAGTTTATTTCCATACACGTGGTTAAGTGCTTTTCAAAATTGGCAGCAAAAAATTAAAAAATTCTCTGTTTTCAGGATGGCTTCATGGTGAGTGCACTTTATTATGCTCTGATATTTGAAAATTGGATACTCCATTTTGGTATACACATTTATCATTTTCACTCACTCTCTGTTATGATTCATGTGTGTATGTGTGTGCGTGTGCACACATGTTCATGTGTATAAACTGGGCCATCCATCTCCACAAATATGAGAGCAAACTTATGATCCAGCTTTCTGTCACGTGAAAAGCAGTATCTGTAAGTCACATGCACCAAAATTAATCTTTGTGGAATCAAACAAAACATCCATGGTTAAAATATTTTATTCAAGAAGGAAGAAGTTTTTTTCTTATATGTGGCTTTCAAAGTCATAATCTTAGGCTTCAAAATTGCACTTTAACAACAGCACTTCTTTAATAGGGGAATTGACCAAAAAAAAAATCTAAATAAAAATTCAAACTTAGTATGATAGGATGCTTAAAGTATAAATCCAGGGATAGCAGAAACCATTCATAATATACAGCAAAAATATATATATATACATATACATATACATATACATATATATTTTTATGCAGCAATGAAATCATAGCATTTCTAATTTATATTTACATGCATACTGACAAAAATTAATAGATAATACAGCAGACCAATAATTTGAATTAATGATGTACATACATATATTCTATATTCATGATAACCTAAATGAATTACACTAGAATTTAATATCTCATAATTTAAATTGACTATTCTCTATTTTTCTATAAAAATGACCTTCACTTTAATATCTAAATATTAAGTTTTAAATACAGGCCTATTTTAAATATATCCAAATTATGTGTTCATCATTCAGTTATAAGATTTTTTTATAATTTCTTTAATGTATCAAACTATGTCTCACATTCAAACCTGACTTAACTTCCCAAACAATTTCACTATGATATTTTATTATTTATGATGTTGTAAACCCAAGATACAAAACTGTAGTTTCTCCTCTACTGTCCTCCAGATCTTTTGGAACAATGTACATGCATGAGTTTTATAAAATTCATTACTAGGAAGTGCTATCTGGCAAGCACTCCCATTTTCTTATTCCCGTAGCCAAAAGAGCTGGTGAAATCTGCAAGCCAGCAGTCACATAATCTATGGCAGACCCTTGGTGCTATAAATCCGTAACTAATCAGGAACAGCTGATAATGAATGTAACTTGTCTTGAACAATGTCTATTCTGGGGGGAGAAAAAAAAGCTCTGCTGCGATCCTATATCGTCTTCTCTAATTCTTTGCTTCATAGCATAGATTCAATCTATGCTGGTGCCTATAACAACTAATAACATAACAACAATACAATAATAATTGTTAACCCTTATTTAATGTTAATCATGTGCTGAAAGTATGCTAACATGTTTATGAATTATCTCATTTAATCTTCACAACAAATGTAGGTATTATCATTTTATACATACTATAGATGAGGAAACAGATATAGTGATTTAAACAAGTTAACCAGTATGTTAAGAAATCTAAACTTACACCATACACAAAAATAAACTCAAAATGGATCAAAGACTTAAACATAAGACAAGATACAGTAAACCTCCTAGTAAAAAATATAGGCAAAACATTATCT